GTGTAACAATTTCCGCCAGCAGGCCCATAGGCCAACTACGGCCATCCGTGGCATCCACATCCTCATCCTCATCCACATCCACGAAACCATCGCTATGGGTTGCCCCCAGTGGCTCTCGTCTCCGACCTTTTGCCTTGAATAACTTTCAATTTGAGCCAAGAAGCCGCGGTTGTGCCTATTAACCGTATGCCAGCGGACACTCCACCCCCCCACCAATCCCAATCCCACTTTTACTCCCACTTTTTAACACGACCTCTGACCTCCATCTTGCTGGGGGTCGGTGCACAAGTCGACAATTTGTTGACTCGGGTTCCGGTGTGTTTATTAGTTCATTGCGGACTCGCAAATGCAAATTACATGCTCACCAATGGCGAAACCTTGATGAGAAAAGTCCGTGGTGATTTCGGCCTGATGGAGAATGTTTCTTAACCGGGAGTTACAAATGTAAATAATTTGATTGCAATTACACAGTAAATATAGGTTTTCGCGTCAGAGAGAACAAAACGTTTAAAAAATATAGAAAAATATATTGTAGTTCTATATAAATTTAAGTAAATATTTTTAAAACTAAATGATTTTTATAGTCCCATAGTTTTAAAGTCAAATAAAATGTTTGAAGATAACATTTAACATTTTGATACCAAATATTTGTACTGTTCTGTTATTAGCTCCAGCTAAAGGTACATGATTAAAATAATTTCGTAATATTAGCATTAACAATGTTTAAAGATAATAGTTTTAATATGTGAGAACATGTTTATTTTAATATATTTATTTATTTATTTAAAAATAAAATATTGTTACTTTTTCATAGAGTAATATCTGCAAATTCCCAAAAAGGCTAATAATACTTTAAAAAATTTAATTGTGTTAAGTCTAATATTCTAGGCTAATTTACTGTATAAAAATTGTACGTTGTTATTCTATTTTAAGTATTAGACTTGAAATTATACATCTTCTCAAAGATACTTTCCTAAGATTTTAGATTTAAAAGCCTTGCACTTCCATAATTTTTTTCGAAAAATATTTTCCCAATTCCAATTTTTTACTAAATACTATAAGTTTATACAACTTTAAAACCATTTTAATTACCACAATGTGATAAAAAAAAATTTTTGAAGACTTTTCCTCTGATATCATCGCCTCCACTTAAGAGTTTTGTATCCTTACAGCTAATTCTTAGCCCATTTATAACACCGAAGAACTGGACAACGGCTTTTCAAGGATTCCCCAGCCATTGTGAGGACGGGCTGGAACCGTTCCTTGAGCTCCGGGAGTCGGAGGGCAGCGACAATGGCTAGATATCCTGTTTAAGGACGCCCCATTCGCTCATATTTAGCTTGTCGCCTCGTATAGAAAGCGGCGGTGTCATAAATTAAAACTTAAACTTTTGGAAATGTCAAGTATAAAACGGTAAATCTCCGCACACACACACACACGCCTGCTGGAAATGAATTGCAGCATAAGAGGCGGGGGGTGAGGAAAAGGGTGGAAAATTGGGTGGGAAAAGCGGCTTCACCCATTGAATGCGCATGTTTTAGTTGCGGGCTGCGTTTTTCACTTGCTGGCAAAGATAGACGGGGGAAAACGAGAGGGGGGTGAAGGAAAAGCGCCCAGAGGGAAAAACTACACAGAGTGAGAGCACCCAAGAAAAAGCACAACAACAATATATATGGGGAAAACTCCACCCAGTTTCCCATAAATCTGTGCAAAAGGCAAACTTACAGATTATCCGCATTTAGTTGTAAAGGTTTCCCCCGAAAATGTGTTGTATTTCATTTTTGGCTCCGCCAAAGATGAAAGTTTGTCCGGCTCTCTTCTTTTTCGCCTGTCGATGATTTACATTTGATTTACTTTCGCTGGACACATTTTTCCCATGCCCTTTTTTCCCCCACTCCCCCTGAAAGTTTTTGCTCATTTGCAATAAATTCTCATCGCTGGCTCTAAATTTCTAATTTTGTAATCATCATAAAATCTGATTATCATTTTCATAACTCCCGAAGATACTGTACACAAAAAAAACTTGACACATTAAGCAGTCATAAGAACAAATTTACTATGCCAAAGAAGGCGCAATTTTTAAGTAAAATTTATGAAAATTAAAAACAGGGAACAACTTTTCTTCGGTCATTTGAAAAATTTAATTGATCGCATAAATTCCTGGCCGGGTGGAACAACATTTTGAGTTTTGAGAGGGGGACTTGATACAGTTTATGGGGGGAGGTCAAGGTATTTAATGGTGGTTGGAAGACATCTCGACGAATGAAGTGTAACCGCCAACATAATCAAATTTCGCTCCACCGCCAAGAAAAACATAAGTTGACCCCGCCTTCTTGACATCCACCAACTTTGTTGGTTTTTTTATTTTTTGCTGGGTGGTTTCCTTGGACTTGAGAAAATTGCCATCTTAATTTAAAAACAATTTTCCAACTTGCCTTGCCTTTGTCGGCCATCTTTGGTTCACTTTTTTCACGCAGTTTTAATTTTACGCAAAAACATTCATTTCTCTGGGGACATAAAGTTTTTTGATAAAAAAAAATAATAATTTTTAGAACAAGGTACTAAGTGTGGTAAATAAATTGTTAATCTAAATGCTTATTAATAATGGTTAAATTAATAAGCATTTATGAAAATGTTTGCAAAAATGAATAAGGGAGATAACAGAAATTTATAAATAAATTTTTTATAATATTGTATATACAAATTTGGTCTACTTATGGGTAGAAATATTTTATAGCTATAGATTTTTTAAGATAGTACCAACCTTTTTAATTTTGTTATAAGTAAAACTAAGTACCACCTTTTCAAAATTTTAAAATCATCACAAAAAAGTAGATAGATTTATAAATATTCAAGAAAATTTAATTTCCTTATGAATGGACATTTTTGAAAAAATAATAATACTCATACTCATACTCATAAGCTTTTCATATAATTTTATCCACTATCATGTAGATAATTGTGGGCATTTTTTTAACAAAAAAATGAATTATAAAATAAGAACCCAAACTAAATACTATTTTATATTTACAATAAATTACAAACTGAGATTTATTTAAGCTCCTTCGTGCTCCTCCAAAATTTTCAATTTGCTAATGAACTGACATCCTGCAGGACCATGAGGACCTCGAAATGAAGGCTAAGTCCTTGGGCTGGCTCAGAGGACCGACCAGCAAACCACTCCGGCCTGTCCCCACATTCAATGCCAACACAAAGATGATGAATTTGGACATTTTGTGTGCGTAGTAAAGTCACTTGCTTAAAAGTTATTAGGGATTAAAGAGTCGAGGCAAATGCGCCGGCGGAATGTGCTTCATTAGAGCAGGGCACCCACATGGCCAAGGATTCGGACTGGCAGGATGTGTGGGCGATGTTTACTTACCTTTGGTGAAAGTTTTTGAAAATCCTAAAAGGAAATCACTTTGGACGCGTCCAAAGAGATGCAGTAAAGTTTCGTTAAACCATCTGGCCCCCTTTCTCATCCCACTTCTCATCGCCATCAGCCACAAAGCCAAAGTTGCCGGCAGAGGAAGTGTGAACGATTATGAGGTGCTGATAGAAGGAATTCGAGAGGCGTTGGGTTTACCTTCCTTACCCATTCCATTTCATCAGAATCCCTTAAACATCCCATTTTGGGGATCTCTCCTTGGCTGATGTTTTAATGTGGCCCGCTGGAACTTTTGAGACATCTTAATTCCTTTCGAGATAAATCAGAAATTTCTAACCAGGTCTGAGCTGGGGGGCGCCAGTTAAAAATTTGTATTTTTATTTATACAATTTTTGTAACTTATGCATTTTTATGAGCTGGGGGATCCTATGTCTGTGTGTGTGTGCGCCTGGTTTATCCTTTCATAAATGGGTCCAACGGCCAACTGATTTATGCCACCGCAAGCTGGAGCTGGAACTGTTGTTCTTGGTCCTGCAGCTTCTGCAACTGTTCCACACCGGGGCATCCTGATGTCGACGGCGGTGGGCAACAAAATAACACACAAAGCAACAAAACCGAAATTCCAGAAAACAACATAAAACCGATTGATTTATTTTGACAATGCTAGCATGCAGTGCCAACCCCTCCTAGGACTCCCATTCCCATTCTACCATCAACCCACGATCCCCGAGTGGTGCAAGTTCTGGTTGGAGCTTCAGTCTGCCATTGGTTGCCATTGTTGGTCGTAGTCCCCATCTCTGTCCCCAGTCCGTCTCTGTCTGAGTTCCAGTACCAATCCCACTCCACATCGACATGTTCCGTTCGCATTTCGGACCCATCCGTACCCACACCCACCCACCTTCAACTCCCCACCCAGGACACAAAAGTTGTCCTCGTTGTCCGCTTTGTAAAATATTTTATTTGCACATCTTTCTTATTTTAATCCTTCATTGCATTCTGTTTGGTTTGGGCGACTTGAGCCAACCGACCATCCAGCCACCCACCCATCGAGATTCCTATTCCTCCCCTGACAACAGGGTGTATGATGTGGATGTGGTGGGCGGATCGGGATGGGTTGACGGTTGCGTGTGGGTTCCATGCAGTGGCAAATGGTCATAAAACACACGTTAATTACCCTCAAGCTGTGTCAACTGTTCTGCTTCGCTCATTTATCTAAACATTTAGCAGCCTTTAGATATGAACAGGATGAGTACTTTTCTTTTTTTAAATTTTTTTATTGAAAATCACGTGATAATATAGTAATACCTATAGCTAATTATAATACAATCTAATCCACGGTAATGCATGTACATTTAGCAGCCTTTAAATATGAATAGGATGAGGACTTTCCTTTTTGAAATGTTTATATTGAAAATCACATGATATAATAGGAATACCTATAGGTAATAATAAAATCTAATCCAAAGTAATGCATATATTATGTTTCATATTTATACTTAAAAATTTTTTAAATTGAAAATCACATGATATAACAAGAATACCTTATATCTTCTAATCCAAAGTAATACCAGACAAATTCCACCAATCTAAACTTGTTTCTTTGCCACATTTTAATACAAACTTTTTTATTTTACAGCTCCAAATATTAATATTATTATTATTCACCAATATGAATTTCTACCGCTAGGTTCCATTCGCCCATTGCTCTCTGCAAAATAAAAGAAATGCAAAACCTTGTAGACTTCTCCTCAAGACCTTTTAAAAATATACCTATAACTCACCTGCATAGTTAGAATAGTAATTGGCATCTCCGCCACTGAAACGCGCAGAGGCTTCATTGGGTGAACTAAATACAGATAATAATATAATATTTTAAACAAAAATGATATAGGGTTTTAACTTACTATAGCCCGTTGCGGGACATCATTTCCTTGGCTCGTTTTTGTTCCCGCATCATGCAGCGATATGAAGAGGCACTGGTGCATTGATGGCGAACTGGAAGATAGGGATCGGCTTTGAAGCCATCGGACATGTCCATTGTAGTCCTCTGATGGTATCGATCTTGGACAGGTGCTGGAGGAGGCTGATGATTGGGCATCTGTCTGGATCCCTGATCAAAATCGCCGCACTGCTGTTGCTGCATTCCGCCTCTCATCTAAGTACATATTTCAACAAATCTGCCTTATAACGTATAGAAAAACATTTATAGTACTTACCTCCGGGTAGTATTCCTCGGGAGTGGGCATATAGGAAAACCCTGAGAGCTGAGCATACGTGGAAAAGTCAATATCCATGGTTTGGTATATGTTTTCTTAACAAAACAATTTAGTACAAATTTTTGTAATATTTTTAAAATTTTTTCTGGTTGTATTTGCTAGAAAGTTTAAATCGAATGATCCAACGTCATTTCCGAGAAACGAAATAAGAAAATATTACTAGATTTAAAAAAAAGTGATACGTTGTTCCTTGAGGAAACCCATTAGAAATCAAAACCAACAAGAACGAACGCTATGGTCGACGTGCTCGACTATAAGATGCACATTACTCAGCTAAGGGGAGTGCGAGGGAGATGGAGATATGCAATCAGAAAAGCGACTATACCCAAAATTGAACATATGGCGAAGTATGTTTGCCATTAAAGTTTTATTCAGATTAAGAACTACAAAGTTTATTAATATTATCAAGACACGTGTGTCGCTCGCTGATTCTTGCCGATAAATCTCCGAGAGTTGCCACACCATTCTTTCTAGTCATCTGGCAAGCTTCTGTTGGCGCTGCTGCCATATTAGGTTGCCACAAACACCCCGCAACAGCGCCACCTAGCGTAGATTACTTTATTTGCTTATAACTTTTTTGCGGATGGTCCAATTTGAATAATTTGGCATAAAGACATTTACTGTTAATCGAAACAAAATCCAATTTATACTTTTACAAAATTTTTAAATGTGTGGGCGCTAGACAGGTGTTAGCGTTATGGGCGTTAAAGTGGGCATGACTGAAATAAACTTGCGCTGCGCAAGAACCTAAAATGTATACCTACCAAGTCTCAACTTTCTAGCTTTTATAATTTCCGAGATGTGATTGTTCATACGGGCATGGCTTAATTGACTTGGCTAGTGATCCCGATCAAGAATAAATATACGTTATGGGGTCGGAAACGCTTCCTTTTAACTGTTACAGTATTTCCGATAAATATTACATACCCCTTTACTCTACGTAAAAAAAAGTAAGCAGGTTTTTTGTTAAGTTTCCTTTTGTCAACTGGCAAGGACAAATATTTTAAAAATGTAAAATTCACCAATGAAAGGCAACATTAAGAGTCCAGATATTTCCAAGCCAAATAGAATGAAAAAATCTTTCTTTAGAAGGTTAAGGACCATGCATTTGCAAGCCACTCCATAATGCACTAAGATTTATTTAGGCAATTTTTAAAGACAATAGCGATTGCAAGCATTAGCAAATTGAACCGAAACCAAACCCAAAGGCTTAATGAAAAGAAAGTCATATAAATATTTCGTTTACAATTTATTTTAAGTGAGCGACACGTCAAAACGCAAGCCATAATTTCCACAAACTGCATGGGCACAACGATTTTCAGAAGTAAGAGTTTCCATTGTTGCGAGATTGGTAGGCCTGACCCTCGGCGCCTCCAAGGCCGGGCAAGGTGTTATAGTAATCTCCTTGGCCACCACCCCGTTGCTGCTCCATTGGAGAACTATAGGGAAAAGGGCATCATCAGACTACATAAATTCCGGAAATATACATACAACAGATCCACTTACTAAAGTCCGTTGCGGGAGTTCATCTCGCGGAGAATTTTATTGTATCGCAGGGGACTGCGGTATCCAGGACCTCCAAGGGCAGCGGATCCACTTTGGTAGTTCCTCGACTCCTGTCCAAAGCCACTGGGCTGTTGGCTATATCCTTGGCCACGGCCCATCTGGTCGTAGTTCATTTCATAGCCCTGCGGTCATAAAAATGTTTTTGGGCGTGACACGGAAATTCGGTTTATACTTACTTCACCGCCTTGGCCAAAACCTTCATATTGCATACCGTTTCCGTACTCCATTACTTATAGTTTTGGAAGAAAAATTAAACTTGGACAATTTTGGAAATTTATATAAAAGAATTTTGTTTTTTTTTTTTGGTTTTTTAGAGATCTTTACAGTCCGAAACCTGAAATGAAAATGAAATATATTTACAGAATGCTGGCCAGGTCGGAAAAGGAAAATGACACATTTTCTCATGGATAGGGCGATGAGATAATTTGGATAACAAAAATTTTTTTGTTTCCATTGTGGTACATAAAAAACGTTCTTATTAAAAACTTCTTAAAGCAAGAAAATGTTCTTAAATAAAAAATGCTAATAAAATAGTAGTTTTATCATCTTTTTTTAACAAAGACAAAATCTAGAAAACGCATTATAGACCAAAAAAACTGAAATCAAGAAAAAAATTGGTCTTGATTAAAGAACGCTTTATCTCGATTTAAGAACATTTTATAGGCCATCATTAAAAAGGAAGAAAGTTGTTTTTATAGAAACCAATATATGCTTTTTGTACGGGACAAAGACGAAGTACAAGCCAAATCCATACTAATTTATATCCTTGATCGCTCCTCCTGGTGCTAATAAAATTAAATTCTCTCCCCAACCTCCTCCAAGAAAGAGTCAAAATATTTAAATCACTTTGGAACCGTTTACCTCTTAACTTGGCCATTTTTATAACCGATTCGGATAGCTTATCTGGCCATGGCCAACCAGCACATTGCAGGCAAAGTTTCTGCAGTCTGAGGCGGAAAAAATCTGTTAAATCGCCATAATGGAAATCAAAGCGATGCCTTCGCAAGGAGAACCAATGAATATGCAAACGACTGGGAACGAGAACGTCGCCGAATAATTAAAATCGAGAGGGAGCAGGATCCGTAGCCCCTTTTCTCCAAGGCTGGAGGATTGGGACTGGCTTCTTCTCTGGAAGGATTAGAGATACCGGGCAGGCAAGGCAAACACACTTTACGGCGGACAATTAAGTGCGGCCCGTAATCTGTCTGTCGTAATTATGGCGACGCGGCGTGTATTTATCTGCAGCAATTAACGCCAAGCCATCGCCAACTCGCATATTTCACATCGCCAAAGATGCGCCATTGGCCCAGACACTTTGCGACTTTAATTAAAACTAGATAAAGGCAATTGCAATCGGTAAAACACGAGAAATATATGGTTTATTGGAGTGTACTGGGTATGGTTAGGACAAAAAATGGCAATCAAGTGCCCGGATTCTGGACCACAATGATGATGTAGTTCTCGGAGGGCAGCACTATCACCTCGTGGACCTTGGTGCGCAGGCGTATGGTCATCAGCTCGTTGCTCGCATCCAAATTGTTGACCATTTTGGCCGCCTTATAGGTCAACGTACTAACCAGGGCCGCGTAGTGGACAGTCAAAGTGTATTCCATGGTCGTCTTGATGGGTATGGCGAACGGGTCCAAAATAATAACGCCAGCAACATTCGGATAGTTCTGGTAACGCTTCAGTAATTCCTCAATTTCGGCCGACATCTTGTCGAAAAGTTTAAGTATCTGTAGTTTACAAGTTTTAAATTAATTTTAATTTAATGCTGATATTGATGTGGTTGATGCTAGGGATGTGAAAGTTTATAAGCAGCACACTATGTTTTAAAGTCCTTTTATTTGAAATTTATTTAATCTTCATGGTAAGCTGAACTAAATAAATAAATTAAATGTTTAGTATTAATTATTATTGTTTAGTCAAAATTATTGTTATTTCATTTTATTTCCCTAACTTATTTCTTTCCATTTCTAATCAGTTTAAATTAGTTAAATTATAAAGACTTATGACAAACATACCGATTGGAAGGTACACCTTGTTTACGTATTAATATATAAAGAATTATTTTATCATAAATTCAAAAATACAACATTAAAAATTATTAAGATAAAAAAATATACTTTTTAATATTATTTGGTATAGTTAAATCACATTCAAAGGCGCCTAAAACTAGAATATAATAACTTTAGATTTAAAATCTATCCCAGTTCTACTGCTTTCCCAGGGCAAAGGGATCGCTGGAGGAGGTTTTCACGTAGAAAATACCCTCCTTGTGAACCGAAGGCTCTCCAGCCATCTGGATGGTCTGTCGCTTGCTCTGGTCACACTGCCACCTTCCATTGTCCCGAGTGCAGGGGGTTCCCCAGAATCCCTTTGGGGAATTAATGGACTCGGCGAACATCTGATAAGATCGAATGTGGGAGCAGCCCAGGTAGTAGCAGCTCCTCTGGTACGCTCCATAGTTCGGATAGAAGGTGGCACTGCCTGTGGGTCGGCGGAACCCAAAGTTGGCACTTGTATGCATGGACTCCACAAACTTGGCATCGGTGGGATCAATCCGGAATTCGGCGCTGCGATGACGGAACTTGGGACCCGCAGGATCCAGAGCGAAAATGGTGTTGACCTGATCCGGCTTAAGTCGCTTTCCTGCCGATCCGGCAATCTGGGCGCCCAAAGAGTGACCAATCAGATACATGCTATCGAAGTCGGCTCCAAACTGGCGATTCAGCTCCCTGGTGAACTGGGCCAACTGGGCGCCAAAGGTCTCGATTAGATTGACCACCGAAAAGTAGTTGATATTGGCCGAACTGGCGCTCCAATCGGCCACGATCACATTGTACTCCCCCTTCTTCAGATAGGCGTTCTTCACATCCCGATTAAAGGAACCACGCGACTGACTCATCCAGCCGTGGATCATCAATCTGGTGGGCAGGGAGGCATTGAAGCCAGAGTGCCTCCACTTTCGTTCGTTCGAGAAATCCAGTTCCCTGCCGCATTCGGGGTACTCCCGCTTAAAGAGGTAGAACTGCATGCGGAGCTTCTTGCTGGCGAAGGGATTCAGATTGCTGGCTATCTTTTTGACAAAGGAAAAATCCAAGTACTTTCCAATGCCCCTTGACTCTTTAAGGTCCTTATCACACTGATTCCACTCGCAGTGCTTGGCTCCCTCGTACTCATCATCAAGATTGGCCAGAATATCATCCACCTCCGGTTCCGTCGAAATATCCGATCTCTGACCCAATCCGAAGGGGGTATCATCGAGGTTCGGCAGGGCATCCATAAACTCACTCATCTCATCATCGTAGTCGCCCTCGACTCCATTTCCATTGACACTGGGTTTGCCTTCAGCTAATTGCAGGTAATTATGCATGCATTAATATAATAATCCATGTTTTTCAAACCAATTCAAGTAAACTCACCTAATGCTGCCACCAACAGCAAAACTGCAAATATTTTAGTCCACATTATGTGTCGATTTATTGGATCAGCTGCAACTAGAGAAGCTATCGATTCCACTTGCTAATGCACTCTGTTGATCTGTTCGATCGGTCTTGCTGGTTTTATATGCTGCCGACTGAGCGAGCCTATTGATATGCATTCTGGGTTTTGATAGATCAACTCCCCAGACGGGATCGGATCAGCACGTCATACCTGGTAGAGACTCGCGAATACATCGCACTGATCAAGCGATTAGCCCGCTCAGATCAGTGGTGGAGATCAAAGGGGGAGGTTATTATACGAAAAACTAGACTCTAACGACTCTTAACTTGCCAAATATAATAAAAACTTACATTTTACCTTTTATAAACTTAATGATGACATGATTAAGCATAAAGCTTAACAATTACCTACATTTTTGTATATATACCCTTATTAAGTTTATTCTGTCGTAAAAGTAATGGCCATTAAAAGCGTACAAGCAGATAAAATAAATGGTTAGTAAAACTATTAAATTGAAAGTCTTGTAATTTAATACAATAACTTAATATTTAGAACAAAACATACTAGATATCTGATTTATTTTAAAATTTACGTTTCTTTATCAATCTTCCAATGGTCCTATCGTGGTCTACCCCATCTAGAAAAGTACAAAAGATTGGTAAATGAACCCCTGTTTAATATTATAAAACCAGATATAAGAAACCCCTTCCGAAATCAGCCTCTGATCATAGTATGTCCAGCTGATTTGAGGCAATGCCCGGCCTTTTCTATAGAGGCACGCGTTTCTTCCCACTGAAACGTGTTAAGTGCGAATTACCGGTTCTACATGCGCTCTATGACGTAGCACTAGACCGAGACACTATAGACATGGGAAATTCTAGGCGCTCACTCATGACTGCCGCAAAAAGTGGGCAAACGCTTTAGCTAAACTTGATCACAATTATCAGCTGGGCGTTTACAACCGATTATGGAATCTCATTATCAATGACCCGTATTAAAATCAAATGGGTGGTTCATCTAATTGACTTTTGTGGCGTGCGTTGGGAAATATCACTTGCGAAGCTTTATTGCTTTGATATTTAATAAATGCCAATTGACGTGTTTGGAGTTTTGTGAGGAAGTCATTGCAATACAATTTTCCAAACAGTTTTTATGAATCTTATGGAGACAATATAGGTAGTGTGGGAAACTCTTGAAATAACTATTCTTATTGTCCATGAAACTATTCGATTTTTCCCGCACTATCATGGGACTCTCCACTTTATATTAGGACAAGAAAGTCGCCTTATGTGTTGTTACTTAACAACCAAATAAATATTAAATATAAATATTATATATGAGTATAATATAAATAAACCTCATGTGCTTAGTCCAATTAACATAAACTATACATACTTATAGATATCTCCAATTCAAATCGATCTAGCTGTGGGTAGTAAATCTTTTTTCTTACTATTTTATAAGTGTTGTATGAGGACAATAAGAATGTGGGAAACTCTTGTGAATAATTATTCCTATTGTCCAAGAAATTGTTTGATTTTTCCCGCAATCTTATTGGATGTTCCTCGTTACCATAGAAAGAGAAAAGGGGGTTATGTCAGCTCTTTGTTATGTTTATTTAAAAATCCTTATACCATATAAATATTTGCAAAGCGTTATTGCTTTGATATTTAATAAATGCCAATTTACGTGTTTGGAGTTTTGTGAGGAAGTCAATTTTCGAAAAAGTATATGAACTTAATGGAGACAATATAGGTAGTGTGGGAAAATCTTGCAAATAATTATTCTTATTGGCCAACAAATAATTCGATTTTTCCCGCACTATCATGGGACTTTCCACTGTGTTATGTTGCTTAAGAAACCACCAAGTAAATAATAAATATAAACAAAATATATTCTAAATAAGCCTCAGATGCTTATGCCAAATAACATATTTTTGGTTTATTATATTAAGTATCTCCGACTCAAACTATGTACTTGTGGGTAGTACACCTATTTTCCAAGCATTCAATATGAATTGTATGAGGAAAATATGAACTGTGTGAAACACTTTTGAATAAATGTTCTTATTGTCCAAGAAATTGTTTGATTTTTCCCGCAATCTTATGGGACGTTCCTCGTTACGATAGGAAAAGAAATGGGGCTTAAGTCAATTCTTTGTTATGTTCTTTTAAAAAACCGTATACCATATAAATATTAAATATAATAACTTTATCAACCTTAGCAGGTCAGTCCATTTAACACCTCAAGCACATTTAAAGCCACTTGCTATTATATGACAGTTTTTAACAAATTAAATAAAAAATGCTTATATTTATTTTCCAATGATAAACAATTGCAGGGAAAATTTTAATTATAGTAAAATTGTTTTTGTGCTACGTTTAAAAATAACAGGAGGCTTTATTGTTTCATTTCTGCCAGCTTTTGTGCACTAGCGGTAAGTAAGGACACCCACCACGCTAAGCAAATACACCCTCCTTAGATAACAGATAAGATATCGATTTTTTGGCGGGAATCATGAATCTTTCATCAATGTTCACAATAAAAAAATCTTTACCACTGACATTTTTTAGTTTTTTTTCAATTCACAAACACACAAAATAAGATTTAAAGTTTCCTGGCCACTCATCATACCCTTTTTATTCTACACAACCGCATTATGAGATAATTCTTTTAAAAGTTTAGTATTTAGAACTAAAACAGTTTTCAAAATGAAAAACTGTAGCATTTTTTAATAGAGATCCAGGAAAATGACCAGTAAACGGGACCGTAAATTTACAAGTTTATAACTTGTTCAAATCTGACGGCAAAACTACATCGCCGCAGTGTTTTGGGCTAAAAAGCGGTTCATCATCTGGTAACACTGCAGAAATTATAATAATAAAACAACATAATATAAATCAATAGCATAGAATAACGGCGAATTAGAAGTAAAGGCGTAGTGTCCACAGCACGATGAGTTTCGACGACGTGATCTACGTGATCTGCCTGCTGGCCTGCATCGGCGCCGGGAGCTATGTGAGGAAGATCTCGGACGAGGGCCAGCGGAAGCTGGTGTCCACCGCACTGGGTGTGATTGTGGTTGTGATCGTTTCGGGGCTCCACAGCCTGCACTGCTTCGTTTCCTTGGCCCTGGGCACCTGCGCCGTGCTCCTGGTGCATCCAAGGTGAGTTGGTGACATCATTAGCCTCTGGAACCCACTTATAATCCCTGATTTGCCCTCCTCCAGCAAAGGCCACCTGGTCACCTTCGTGGTCATGTTTGGCTACCTGGTGTTCTTCCGCATGTTCGACTTCTACCTGGGCATTCCCGGCCACACCAACATGATCCAAATGCTGCTCACCCTGAAGGTGGGTTGCATAACCATCTATCATTTAAGTTACTTTGCTGATAATCCCTCCATTGGCAGGTTTCCGGTATTGCCTTCGAGAAGACAGCCGCCTGGAAACGCCTGCAGGCACGCGCCGAGCAGAAGAAGAACGACCAGCGGGATGTGAACCAGGAGAGTCTCGTCGAAATCACCGACTACGACGAGGAGCTGCAGACCCTGAGTGCCGCCGAGATCCTGCACTACAGCTTTAACTACATCGGAGTTCTTACAGGTAAAGATCGGGCTTGGCTTAAACTAGATTCGTAGATAAACCTATGACTAGTCGGAACACTTGTAGATATCAAAGTCCAATTCAATTGCTGATTGTAAAACATTACTTATACATTGATAATTTAAAATGGATGCACTCTTTTTTTATTGATTGCAGGTCCCTATTATCGGTATCGTACATACAGAGACTACTTTGAGATGCCCTTTAAGACTTATGCTCCCAGTGTTGAGGCCACTTTGGAGAAGCTTAAGCATGCAGTCTTTTACTGTGCTCTTTACCTGGCCACAAACTACATCTGGCCACTAGATGTGAGTACTTATAGCGCCGTAGAATCCTTTCTCATTTGATTTATCTTATAGTATGCGCTGACTGATGAGTTCTTCAACGATCGCTCCTTTGTCTACCGCCTGCTGTACGTATGGCCCACGTTTTTCACTTTCCGTGCCCGCATCTACACCGGACTGACCCTAAGCGAATGTGTCTGCACAATGGCCGGCTTCGGAGCCTATCCGGATGAGTCGGATCCCACTAATGGCGAGGGACCTCGGAAACGTTACCAGCACCTAAAGCGCGATGCAGAGAAGCATACGTACAACTTCACCACGATAGTCAACACCAGAGTACTGGAGGTGGAGCGCTGCTGGACCTTCCGCGAGGGCATGAAGCACTGGAATGTGTGTGTCCAATACTGGTTGGCTGTCAACGTGTACAAACTCTTTCCAAGCAAGAAATACAGGTGCGATTTTATTGTAGAAAGATGCTATGAAGTTAAATTGGAGGATTACTCCAAGTTCAAGTTTCTCATTAACTAATTTCATAGAGTCGTAGATTTAGTTCTTTTACTGCTTGCTTCTCGTATTACTCCTATTGTTATTGTTCTTTCCCTTTGCTACTGATCGCAGGGTTGGCAGGTATTCCTAGTAGTTACTCCTATAATGGCTTTTTATCAGCGTTTCCCTTACTAACTTGCTTTTAATATCTTCTTAGGACTGGCGCCACTTTGCTGTGCTCCGCCTACTGGCACGGATTCCGGCCGGGACACTACTTCTGCATCATGGGCGCTCCCTTCTACGTTGCCCTGGAGGATATGTGGGATAAGTTGGTGCGCAAAAATGCCATTGGCACTAACCGTCGTGTAATCGACGTCATCTTCTGGATCTTCAAGTGGTTCGCCTTCAGTTACTTGGGCGAGGCTTTCCTGCTCTCCTCGTTTGGCAAGATCTGGCGGTACTATAGCTCGGTCTATCACATTGGATACATCAGCTGGGCGGCTATGATTGCGTTGGGATTATACCTGAGCAATCAGAAAAAGGCCGCCGAACGTAGAAAGAATCGTGCGGCTGATAAAGCAGCTGCCGGAGATGGAGTCGCTGCCGCAGTGGAGAAGGAAAAGGCGCAGTAGCTTGGCATTTACATAGCCACCAATATCCCTAATTGGCAGATCAATTCATGGAAAACTTTTTAAAAGTTTTCCACTACATATTCGGAGGAAATTTATATGTTCTTCAGTTCTTCTATTGTAAAGAATCATTATCAACGATATTTTCTTAGAGAAGTTGTTCTCAATTTTTTTCACCAACTTAAGTATGTACAAAAGTGGTCTTGTTACGCCTTCTACCGGCTTCCATCCAAACTTCTTCTGGAGAAGGTGATGATATTATGAATATGAATAATAATTAGATTTAGGCATCAAAAAGTTACTGAGAAAGATAATTATAATTATATATTTTAACCAAAGAAATTTAAACGAAAAATGTATAAATATTAAATCCTGCTATGATCACTCAATTCCAAATTAAAATACTATCTACATATATTCCCAAAAAAATACATAAACTATTCCTTTTGTACGTTTTCTCTTTTTATTAGGAATTTATGGTAACGGAATTTCAAGAGTTAAAAAAGGGTATTTTCTTAAATTAAATTTGCACACAGAAATTCGAGATTTACACAAAATGATTTTTGCAAATGGAATACTTAAAAATTCGAGTGAAATTTAGTTTTTACCAATGTATAAAGTGTATATCATATTGGGGTTTTTAGAATTCCCTAGAGATTTAACAACACAATAAGAATGGAATTTTTGTTATAGGCCTATCACAATATTGAAACTAACTATTTCCATTAACCTAATTAATGTTTTCAAATCTCCAGGTGTTTTCGAGTTCACACCCAAATTTAGTGAGCCTTTTGTTTGTTTTTGTATGGTTTATATTCGATACCAGCTCGAATTTGGTCTAAATTCAATGCGTTTCGATTTCAGTTGTGTTGTGTTCAATAAACAAAATAGTTTCTTCAAATGTGGGTGGCATGGCAAGAGATTTCCTGTTGCTGATGCGAATGTGGATGCTGATGCTGATGCTAATATGGTGTGAATCGGTGGACATCACGCCGAGGATGGCTCATCGGTGACCAGGGACAGGCGCCTCTTTACATCCTGCGTGGTATTGTAGGCGCCGCAATGCACGCACTTGAGTCCGATGAAATGGAATTTGGTTTTGGAAGTCTGCAGAATAAATTAAGGAATTCCAAAAATTATTTTATATCCTTTTGTCAAGCTAATTTATGATTGAAATCTATATAAATGTGTTATTATATCATGTATTGCTTCCTTGATTTTGTTCGATGTTTTATAGTATATTACGTTTTTTAAATTATTTACGCTTTCAAAGCTTTTTATATTATTTAAGACTTTAATTTTAAAAGTAGTTAATTTTTAATACGATTTATATTTTGTTTTTGGAAATGGTATTCTTGTTCCTGGTGGAATGTTCTGTTCAAGTTGTTAATTTGTATTTATTTTATAAAGTCCTAAAAACTTCTGGGGGAGATTTTAAAAATGTCTATAGAACATCGAAAAAAAGAAAATGTTCAGAAAATCAATAGGTCTTAACTTCAGATGTTGAGAATTGTTAAAAAAAAGATATATTATTTTTTTTTTGTGTGTTTGTTTGAGTTCTTTTTAGCTGTTACCTTGAGATTTTAAGAATTTGGTAACTCACCTTGTGACAATCGTTGCAGAATATGTGCACTCGCTGATTCTCGTACTTGAGGGGCACCGGCATGCGCTCCGCCTGGTCGTCCAGGTACTCCCACAGCGCCGTCATGTCGATCAGCGAGGTCTGGCAGGTGGGACAGGTGTAGTGGCCGGAGGCCAGCAGCTGGTCGAAGCACATCTTGTGCAGCAGGTGGCCGCAGTCGGGAATATGGCAGGGAATGCGCGAGGTGTGGATGTCGCCCAGGCAAACCGGGCAGTGGGATCGCGAGATGTTCTCCACGCACTGCAAGGGAATAGATAGATAGATACACACGTCAATTAAAAACATATCCCAATCAATTATGTAAATTCGCATAAGATCTTTGGCCCATTTTACTGCCTGACACGCGTCTGCACAGCACTCTCGATATGCTGGCCAATTAATTAAGCCATTCCTGCAACAGTTTTGACATTCATATCCACTCAACTATATCGCAGATCGCGGATCGCTACAAAAAGCAATTAGGCAACCGGTTTCGGCAATGAATTGACACAAAATTAATATGCCAGCCGGCTGGCTGTTTCTTTGATTTGCTTTCGAAAAGCGGAGGTCACCATCCGCACTTACAGGGCAAATGTTTTCCAAGTGGACAATCTTAAAATACCTAATGGGTTCCAAAATCAAGACCCAACTTACCCTGTGGCCATCGATCTTCAGTTGGATAGGCAGACACATATTGCAGACCTCGCAGTGAAAGAAGTTTTCGGCTCCTCCAATCCTACAGATTCCACATCCATGACAATGGTACTGCTGCTTATCCGCATCGTCGAAGAGGTTGCAGATCAGACAGGTATACTGGAGTTAATAAGGTACACCAAAGTTATATTACAGGTCAGCGACATCAATTATGACTTACAACATAACATACTTTTCAAGTTTCTTATTTTTGTACAGAAATAGTCAACCGAATTGGAGGATTGGTGTATTATCTTAGAAAAATATCTTTATATGTACTAAAGATCTAATCGGATAGATTTTTGTAATTTTTATAATTGATAAAAATTAAGCTGCTTTTTAATGTTAAAATTGGATTTATTTCCTTGGCTTTTTTTGGATTTCTAAAATGTTGAAATTTGTTATTGTAAAAATCGAATATCGTTAAAAAAAAAGGTATCCAAAGTTTCGAAAGAGTTCTTTGTTTTGTTTACTATGCTTTTAGAAAATTTGTTATAAGAACTACTCATTTCTTTAAGATATTTCTGAGTACCAATAGGTAGGAAGATATATTTCAAGATAGCCCATGAACTTACCTTCCCAAATCGCACTCCGCAATTCTCGCACTGTTCTCGAACCGTTTGCCTCGTATTGCACTCGGAACATATCAATTCGGTGAGGGTTTTGCGATCAAAGTGGTGCGTTTCGTTCTCGTCATGGCAAAATCGGCACTTGTAGAACTTGTTGCAGCAGGGGGTCTGCATAAATAATATATTGATAGAAAGAAACCAAAATAAAAAGAAATTAGTACTGGAAAGAAAATGTTGAACAAAAATATTCCACATTTTTAAATGGAGCTAAGATTCGGTATCACTCCCCTAATGGAACCCTCCCCCAGTCAAGGACTACAGACTACCCATTATCAAGCAACATAATTCATTAGCAATCCACGGAGACACGGCCCCTAATTCCTAAATTGTGTTGCTAATTTACGAAATCTGCCTGGAAACGGGCTTAAAAACAAATGGTGGGTAAAATTGACAAGTGACGTCTCAGAGCCCCAAAAAGGCGTCAGACTTACTGGCCAAACTTAGCATTGTCATAAACATTGCACTTGGATGTCGATCGCAGTTTTATGAACTACGAGTCGATACCCTAATAAAATCAGCTGGTGAAACTGAATCCGTTTGAAAAGATGCCTACAGCCACTCGTGTCGGTTCATTAGGCTGTTGCTAATTAGTTCTCTCGTCGATATAGCTCGAATTATCAACATTCGGTTATGATAAAGACCGACTGAAACTGTATCAGATCGATCCGGTTTCTCGTGTTGACTCAAGAATTTCTCGTTGCATGCAGAGAGATTAAAAATCGGTTAGTTTACAGTAAGTACATACTCCCTTATCTTGTTTGTCCGCCTTCTGTAACTTATGTAACAAAGTCTTCCCTTGAGTTCAGTTTAGTGGCAGCCAACACCCCAGCTATTTATATCATTCCAGCCTCGCACATCTCCACTATCTTTCAGAATTATTTATAGCTTGACAACACTTTTAAGTATTTATTTCAACTCTGTTGCGATGATAACACTCGAAGTACAGAAACGGAGTAGAATCTTCGAATCCGGTTTCTTTGTGTTTCCCCCTCGTTTTATTGCTGCGCTTCACTAATGATCGTATTATAACGCTGTTGTTCCTGCAATTGGTTAAGTCCAGACATCTCAAATTTATTTATTAACCGAAACAAAGAAGCCAGCAAATACTACAAGGTTCTAAGACAAATTGATACAAGATCTGGTGGAACTCACAATACTAAGATACTAAGGACCCGGTAATTGCGGGCATTGCTCCACTTGGGATTGCACATATTGCTCTTAACATTGAGCTTAAGTCCACAAGTATGTATAAATTAATTTCACGCATTGTCGGGCGAATATAAATATTTGAGAATAAATTACTTCACCTGATACAACAGTTAATGCGACCCTCATTAATACAAGTAAGTTGAACTTTTGCTTTTACAAATTTTTCTCGGTGTAAAACGTGAATACACACACAAAAGCGAAAACATCGAAAAAAATCCTTCGGATTATAGAGAATGCAGGACAGATTGGGGCGTGTACGGACTTACGTGACATTTTTTGGAGAGCTTTTAAATGGGTATCGCATGAACAAGAATTTTGGGGTGCATTATCAATTCATATCGCGGAATTGGAATGCTTCAGTTTTACAGTTACTTGAACGTGTTGCTTTTCCACTTGAGTAATTTATGATCCGTTTTTTTTGTGTATCCTAACGCATAATTTATATGGTTTAAAGCAAGCAGAAAATATTAAAAAAATTATATATATTAATTTTAATTTATTTAGGATTACTAATTGCCTGCTGTTATACATTTTTTTGTTATATTAATTGTGGTTAAAGAAAAGTTACTAAAACAGTTAGGGTGTGTACCTAAATTACTTGAAGTTTTCAGCTGAATACTTCTTGGATTTGTTATTATTCAACGTTATTCAAGAAAATCATGTTAATTTAATATTTAATATTTTAATACTTTCCACGCATTGACTCACTTTTCTCACCTTAAAACTTTTATACTGGTACTATCATATCCCGTACTTATCACCTCTTGATAATTATGTCTGCTGGCTCCTAATTGTTAAAGTAAAGGCCTGAATACAGCTGGGGAACGATTGCTTTATATGCACACACAATTTCACGTTTCCTCATAATTTCTTATCCAAACCCGACCGATGAAGATAAACGCATTGTTTGCCCAGATGAATGGAAGTGGAGAATGGAGGTGTTAAATGGCCACTCGCCTCTGGGGCAGCTGCCCACCGAGAATTCCTGGGCCGTGAATCGGAACCAGAGCAGACCCAGACCCCATCTGTATACCCCTCCAAAATCCGGACATCGTGAGTCTCTGGTTGTCTACATAACACCCAAACAATTGCCGTGCAAATAGAGATTCCCTATAATTGAATTAAAATTACACCCGGCACAAAAGAATCACTGCCAAAAGGTGTCTGTTTAGACTTCAGGCACTTTATTTGGGCTGTTTGTTTAGAAACGAATAAATAAAGGTTAAATGCCCCATTTCAGGAAGGTAGCCGGAATAGATAGACACCGACCAAATAAAGCGACGACGAAATGTGCAGAAAACACAGATGCCCCCTTAAGGCGCCATCATAATTTTCCCAAAGAATTCCAAAATTCACAAAAATTTGGAAAATTTTATAGCTTTTAATATACGACCCGGACTAAAAATAGTAGAAAATTCAGAGAAATCTTTCTAATTTAAAGATGAATTTTAATAATGTCCATATATGGAATTTATTCCTTATCATCATAACCCAACCTGCATTTATTGATGATTGATAGGTTTTCGTATTGTAACAAATATATATATATGTGTGGCTATAGCCACACTCTGTAAACCCCGAATGCGTCACAATAAAAACTTCGATACGAAACGATTCCCTGGTTTAGATATACTTCTGAAGCGAGTAATTGATAGGGGTCTCTGATAATAAGAAATAATAAGCCCGCATCATTGAAAAGGGTTAATTTCTTTATTGCTTGGAAAACAAAATATTAATTAAAAATGGAACTGAGAAGAATGAATGTAGTTAAGAATTGTCTTATGAATGTCTCAGAAAAACTTTTCAAAGGGTCGGCTCTGAAGAATTCGCGGAATTAGCTGACATACAATAGATCTTTTGATTTAAATGATATAAAAAACTTTATATACAAGCTTTCAGTTTCGAATAAACTTATAAACCAATTAAAAGATCAAAATATATTGGAAAAGTCTACGTGTGCAATATCATCATGATCATTAATCCATGAAATATAGAGCCCTAACAAAGGCTGTAAAAATACCTATTGAATCACCCCCATTTTTAGTTTTAATTGCTCTACTTCACTGATTAAATATGTATACATATACTCAAGTTCAAGTGCATTACTAGATGAGATTTTTCCCGCAGTGTCTGTGACTTTTGCTTTCGTTTATTGTTCAGTAAGTCCGCTGATATGAATGTATATTGACTACTTATTGCACTTACCACAAACATGGCCCGTCGCTTATAGTGAGCGCATCCAAAGCGCAATGACTCCGGTGTTGTTGGTGTCGCATTGCTGTTGCACTTGTTGCTGATGTGGCTGTTGCTGTTGCTGTTGCTGTTGCTGTTGCAGCTGCCTTCGTTGCTGGTGATGCGTGATAGTTGTTCATGTTGCTGCGTTTGCTTAGCCTCCGAGGCGGTGTTCCGTGGAAATGGGGAAATGCGATGACAGTGGGAGTCCTCCTCCATGGGTTCCATGGGCTCCAACCCATCAAAATTGAGACTCGGTGTCGATTTGCATTTTCTCAGTTTTGCATGCGATGGAAAATATTTGCCCATCATCATTGTGGGCGGCATAATCAGCTGTTGTTGCTGCTGTAGCTGTTGTCGCTGTAGATGTTGCTGCTGTAGATGTTGCTGCTGTGCTATCTGAGCAACTGGAAGCGAAGCGGGAAGAGCAGCCTCCGCTGAGGTCGTCGTTACTGTGGTTGCCAGCAGCTTTGACGATGAATTTAAATTGACTTGATTGGGTTCTTTTGTATTGGTAAATATTTGTACATCGATGCTGCTGCCGCCGCCAGTGCCCAAGTATTTGTTGTGGTTTTCATTTAGCGATATTCGGCGTGCCCGCTGGCGATTCTTCATTTTGTTGCAGGAGCTAAATATCTATATATATACGCCTTTATATATACAAGTGATTTTCCACTATTCCTCTAAGTTGCAGTGGTCTTGGTTAATTGTTGCCTCTTCAATTGCCGCCGCGCAGCATTTAAATTATTTGCCGATGTTGCTGTTGTGACACATGTAGACTTTGTATCCGCCCCGTCGACGTGAGCAGCCCTATCTGAAGAAATCCGAAGACCCGACCGCTGGAACTCTCTTCTCCAACTAACTTTCATTTAAGCAACATTTCCTTGTGTATTCACAGGCGGTAGTTGTCAAATTTTCGGTTGCCCAAAAACTCGCACAGGTGTGACACTGGGCTGGAAGCGATTAAAAAAGGGTGGGAAAGAGGTGAGTACGTGTAGCAGGCCCATTGTTCGCACACCGATCGATCAGTAGACTGACTGGCTTATCCCCCCTAATGTTTGACACAACAAAACTACCGAGGCAGCGTATTTGCATTTCAATGTTTCCCAGTCCCCGGCTGTGAAAGGCCATCTAAAGTAGATAACTACTATCTTGATTTTCAGTTTTCTTCGGCGTCGCGCACTGTATACACATGCACAGTGGCGGACAAGACATTAGCTCTAAGAACATGGAATTTAATTGTAAGAACTTTTAATTAGTAAGCTTGTTAAAAACGTTTAATATCAAGTAATAAACAATTATTTTAAATTTAATTCAATTCTAAAATGTATAGCTATAGTACCAAAATTGAATTTAAGTGTTATAATAAGCATAAATAGCACATATCAAAATGATATAATCACCATTATTTCGATTTTATGCACTTGTAGCCCATTTGATGTTTTTCTGAATGGAGACTCGAATTGGTAAGCTTTGTAACTAGATAATTAGTATAATGATATTCTAAATTTTTTGATATTATTCATTTGTATCTACAACCAACTGGTCTAATTAGTCCTACTTATCTGTGTAAAAAATTAAATGGGTTAGTTTTCCGACAAGGTATTTAGTATGATATCATTATTTTGGCAATATAATGTTCATTTTGACTTGATTTTTGACTTAATATGATATCTTTAATTAAAATCTAAGTATTTAGATATTTGGGACTATTGTTTTGTTGGCCTCAGGTGTGTTTTAATGGGACCTTGTTTCATGTGAGCGGGAGCATTTAAATCGCTAGTTTGGCCTGCCGGCAGGTTACTGTGTCGCGAAAAAGACGTTCACAGCCTTACGGATTTGTATTCGGAATCGGATTCGCAGTGCCTTGACACACAGTGCGGATGATGAATGGAAAGGCGGGGGAAAAACAACAACCCACACTTGTTAACATAACCGGCGTGCGACTTGGCAAAACTTTCGCTCAGTGGTTGTTGCTATGGCATTTCAGGTAGCACGTTGCACGTTGCACGTTGCAGCTTGTAGTGTTGCATGTTGCTGGTGTGCATAGATGCCGTCGAAGGAGGAACTATCGACAATATGTGTTTGGTAATGGCAACAGCAGACGAGCTTTCGGTTTCGTTTGCCCACTGTGGTTATTCTTATGTATTTGCATAGCGCGGCGGGCTGAAAAATCGTTGCTGAATCTTGTTTACTCAGTTTGTTTTTCGCAATTATCAAAAGGGGAGCAGAAACCGACAATAAATATTGAAAGTGTGCTAAAATTACAAACGTAAGGAGGCGATAAAAGCAGCAGGCCCCATGGAATGGAAAACCAGTCGTCGAAAAGAACGCCAGCCAGGTTTTAACTTGATTCGGTTTTCAATTATTAAACATTCATGTTTACGCACGCACGCACTCGCTCACAAATGCAGTAAATAATGTCACGATCTGTGTAATCGGTTTCTAAAAGTTTCCAATCCAAATCCAAACCGCCTTCGATATGAAGTTTGGCTATAGTACATTCGCACGCACCGACATTCATTCATTCCTCATACATATATACTTAAATTTAGTTAGGTTTTTTAAACCAATTTCTTGTTTAACGTGTTTTTCCTTTTGATTTGTTTTGTTTTTACACTTTTTGGGTTTATTTTGTTTGCCCCGCGAATGGCACTCATCCTCTTTGGCTTTAGCCTTAACTTTATTATCTGCTCATTGTGAGTTTCGTTGAAATGTAGCCTTTAATTATTATTTTACCCATTCGTTAATTATAATTTATTAGCAATGAGATGTATACTTGAAAGTGAAACAGCACACACCAGCCGCAGCTCGGAATCGTCAATTGAATTAAAGAGCCACGACAACGACAACGGCGACAAATCAAAATCCGCGTTCAAGTCGCGGACCCGGATTCCGCAGATTCGATTCGTGCGGCGCGAGATTCGATTTCCAACTGAGCGGAGTGAGATATTCCACTTGTTGCTGCCAGCCAGTCTGCCGAAGCTTTCTTCCGTTGTGCAGCTTAAAGCTTTCCAGGTCAGCGATTCAGATTCAGCGGTGCTGTTACTACAAGATTCAGATACGATACGAAACTCATGGATTGTAAATAATGTGTTAAGTGGTCTCACTTTGGGAAAACTTAGGTATTTCTTAATTTCCAAGAATACCATGTTTCCGAAGTTTTCCACATATTCCATTAAAATCTTGGACCTTATCGATCTATACTATTTGGTCAATAGAGTTAAAGTCCCTAAGTTGATTAAGCATTTTCGACCATACAGTTGGCTACCACCACCAATTTATAAAATATAACTAATATATGTATTAATCTGATGAAGCACCCTTTAATTATAGGACTATAAGTATGTATGGACATATGTTCCATTTATGTGTATACTCATAACTTTGTGGTCATTAATCAAATCGCAGTAACTCATAGAATTATCCGAACCATATGGACATATCTATGAAGTATCCAGCTAAGACCTTCATGATCTCCACAATCTGATCATCATATCAGGCAAAAGATTTACAAAGTAACAATTTATATTGATCATAAATCAAGTCACAGATATATTGTAAAAAGCTAACTGCGTTATCCAAATCAAATCTGCCTGTCTAAGAAATAATACCTTTTCCAACAGCTCGTCTATTTCTGCAGGGTTCATACACAAAACTAATAAATTAATAGCTATATAATCAATATATAGATTTCAATGAACTATTGCAACAAGATTAAAACTTTAAGATTATTAGCGATATATATTCAATATATATGCCTGTGAGTCTCTGGGCAGCGTGCAGGTTTTGTGGTCATAAATCAAATCACAGCTAAATGCATGGGCATCGTAATAGCTAATTGCATTGTCTAAATCATGTAATCCTGTCCCGTCTATGAGGTAACATCGCCTAGACCTTCTCGATCTGGACGAATCTCTCGCGCTTATACTGATCACTGTAGCCGGCGATGAACTTGAGGCGGCCCTCGTACTTCAGATTCATGATGGTCTTCACCATCGGCGGATGGTCGTTTCCCAGCTCCAGCCAGAGCTTGCCGCCAGGTCGAAGGTGCCGGCAGGCCAGTTCGAAAACCAACCGGGCCACCCTCAATCCATCGGAGCCACCGTCTAGGGCATTGAGGTTCTCATAACTAGGGATACAAGATGGTCAGAGAACTGGATCATGTGGCATAAGTAGGCTCAACTCACACAACCACCTCGGGGTGAAGATACTGGAACTCCTCCGTCTTGACGTAGGGCGGATTCGAGATGATCAGGTCGTACTTCTGATCCTTGAGCTCTTCCGGCAAATACTTGTCCTCCTCCATGGTGTGGTTGTGCACCCTAAAGCGGTCCAGCAGACCCAGCATCTTGGCGTTCTCCGCCGCCAGCACGGTGGCCGCCTTGCTCCTCTCGATGGCGGTGGCCTCCACCTGCGGCAAGCTGTGCAGCATGGACAAGGACATGGCACCCGAGCCGCAGCCCACCTCCAGCATATCCACGTGCTTGGCATTCTTGTGATCGTCGATCACCAGGCGCACAAACTCCTCCGTCTCGGGGCGCGGAATAAAGACCGAGGGTGAAGTCTTCAGGGTAATGTCCATGAAGTCCCACTCGCCGATGATGTGCTGCAGCGGCATCCGGGCACAACGGGCCTCCAGAAAGCGCTCGAAGTCCGCCAGCTGGCCGGCATTGAAGTGCAGCTGATCAAAAGAGTCTGGAACAGAATTCTACCAATGATAAGAGAGGTTAATTTGAATGATGGCTCTTTTTTCTGACAGAAACCTTACGAATTTTTTCTTCAGGACATGCGACACGATGCACTTGAGGTTGAATTCAGTGTCCTCGACTCCGGCGGCCTTGAGCTTTTCCGCCCACTGCCCAATTTCCAGGGCCTTGGTCACGGGAATCTGGGACTGGCCGGTCGGGGAATTCGTGGCATAGTTGACCTGCCTGAGCAGCCGCGAGGTCAGGCCCACTGACCGTGTCAATTGTCTAAGCATAATTTCACTTATTATCTAATTGCTATTGATTAACATCAAAATTTTGACGCCAGTTCGTTCCAGCGTGACCGTTGCACGACCGTTACAATATACCAGTGGGAATTTGAAAAAAACGTGACATGATTGTTCACGCTCCAAGTGTTACCGTTGCCCGGAAAGGTGTGACAGCCTTTCGAGTTCTTTGGCGGAATGTTTGAATTTTTGATCTATTAGAACTTGGCTGCGCAAAAAACCCCTCATAATTGTTCACGCCCTGATTGCAGTCAACCCTTTTTGTTTATTGTTGCGTAAACTATATTATTATAACATAATGCCTATCTTTGGAAAAGGGAATGTTATGATTTGGTCTATTAAGCCTATCAGATCTTCGGAAAACGAATAGAATATAATTTATTTCTAATATAATATTCAATCTTAATTTGTCTGTAATTTGTTAGTAAAATGCATTTTTAACTCAGCTCCTCTGTCTTATCATGGTTTAGTTTAAGCTGATGTGATCATTAAATATATTTGGTATACAAATAGTTTACGTCTGTTTTTAAATAATATTTTGTCTTACCGAAGTACCTATTTATTACAAACAAAAAAAAATTGAAAAGTGTATATTACATTGAAAACAAGAAATAGAATTGTTATGAAGTCTTTAAGACTTAGCGGCAGATTTAAAAGAATGTACAAGAATTGAGTACTATCACATAATATTTACGAATCCAATTTCTTAATGCGCAATTGATTTTATAGCCAAGTCCATCTACAGGTAAAAGTCAACTAAAGGAATTGTCAATTGCATTGTTCAAATAAGCCATTTATCTGATATCTACTCAAGAACCTTGTAAATAGACGACGACACCTGCTCACACATGGGATTGGTCTAGTGTTGACTCGATAAACATTTCTTGCCCAAGAAGTGAAAATCATTTCGCATTGCCGTACTTATAATTTTTGTATTTTACAACATATTAAAATATTCATTACATGCTCTATATATTGTATATATTCACATTACGATTGCACAATTATTTCCAAAACGAAAAAACAACGGACACAATAGGTAACAAATTTTTACAAGTCTCCTTTAAGTACTGAAATCAATGGAATTTCCGTGCGCTAACTATTAGTTTGGGAATCATGACGTTCAAAAACGGTAAACAAAAAATGTACAAATAACCGAAACAACTACCATCCGTCCATCAGTCTATGCGTCGACGCAGCCCTCGGATTAGAGGTGTCCGTGCAAGGGATCGCGGGTGTCCCGTAGGTAGACGGGACTGGTGAACGACTTGCCTTCAACCTGCGAGGCGAGATTCTCCCCGGCGTACGTGACGAACGGTGAGATCTCACAGACTTCACCATGCACGATGCCGCCGGCGTTTTCGATATACTTCTTGTGCAGCCGATGGAGGTCCGATCGGGCAGTGCTGGGGCAATCCTTGCCAGCTACATCGGAGTTCTTCAGGGCGCTGAACTCTTCGTCGCGTGGCACTTCCATGGCCACGAACTTCTGGGCGAACTCGAATACATCGAAAACGAACTTCTCAATCTTGATTCCGTTCGGCTTGTCGGGGGTCAGCCGCTTGCCGGCATTGTCGACGAAGGGAATCTTCTTTTTGGCCACGTGAAGCTTCAGCTCCTGCTCGAACGTGCTGCCGATCTTCTGCAGGAAGCTTGAGCTAAAGAAATGATTGCAAATGTTTCCAGCACTAAAGGTCAGCCTGCCGTCCGAATTGCGCATCTCTGCTGTTTTGGCCGAGATCTCGCTGTACTCCACCACCTGGTATTTGCCATCGACTATGGCCACCACGCCGACGGCCTCGTTGGGCGCCGCCTTCTCCACCACCTTAGCGGCGCACTCGGCCTTCTCCTGCACACAGTAGCCGATGAACACGGGATCGGCCACCTTAATCAGGATGTTGTCCACGCTGTGGGCGTGCAGATATAATACACCCCGCTTCTGCATGTCGTCCAGTATACCTTGGCGTTTCATCGCCCTGTAGATGCCTCCGTTACCGTCGGGTGCTCGCGCCACTCGGTGCTTCTCGTCCAGAATGATGCGTCCATCGTATTCAAAGCACGGCAGCGATCCCTGCTCGAACAGCAGCACGTTTTCCGCCTTCAAGCCAAAGAAGTTGTTGGCCACAAAGTAGTCGTAAGTGGGTTGCACCGTGTGCTCCGACGTCATTATGTACCAGGTGATGTGACCACGCTTGCCGTTTGCTTCCTGCGCCAGCTCCTCCAGCTTCAGGATCCGCTCGGCCTGAATGCGGAACAGAGTCTTCCGGGACTGCAGACCCACGTCGTACATTCCCTTGGGATGATCGAAACCAAGTCGTGTGCCTGCAAAGAATAACCAAACATTAGTTGGGAATTGATGAAGTTAGTATAAAAGTAATTCTTTAAATTGTTCTAGTAATCTTTAAACATTTACTTCTACATTAATGATATGATGATATCTGATTCTTTTTAAATATGTAGGTGAGAATTATAATTGCATAAAAGGTAAAAGATCATTAAAAAAGTAATACATCTAAGCATTCCACTGTAGTTTTAATAAGGGTTAATGTTGTCAAAAAATATTTAAAAGATTTTTAAAACTGGTCTAACGGTGTTGCAACTGAAATATAATTTCAAGGCTTATTATTGTATTATAATCTACCTTAAAAAAGAATTGTAAGAGGTATTTCCCCATCACTGAATCGATTAATCATTCAATAAGAAGAACTGCAGCTTTTTTCATATCCCACCCGGTTGGCCTTATAAACAAGTTTATTTCTCGACCATCGATCCGCTCTTTATATTGTCTTTTGTCTGCACCATTTTAACATTTTTAAGCGGCTTGCTTAAGGTCAGTTCCACTACCGGTTTTTAATTATCGGCTGTATTCGAAATATGGCTTATCGGTTCGGCAAACGGAACTTCCACACCTGACCGAAAATTCTCGGGAATCAAAGCGTTA